GACATCTCAAAGTGGTCTTAGATTGATGACTGTAAGCACAGCCAAGAGGGAGGGGGAAACATCTCCATGCTTGCTCTGCAAGGCAGAGACATGCCTTTTGCATGTTTGGAGGTAGAATTTGATGCCAAAATGACGTAGGGATGACGATGATATATGTTATAGTATGTTCTTTGTCTACTTGAGTCTGAAACTTATAAAAGGCCAGTCCGCACCTTGATCGCGGCTGGTGTGATTAGAGGTGACTCCACACCAGGCTCCAGCTGGATAAATAAACGTGCTTTAAAGTCGCCAGACCTCTCTCTGTGTCTCCTTTCATCAAACCGCTCCTGCTACTACAGCGACAGAACATAAAGACTTACTTTGAAAAAGATGGGCGAGGGGCACACACTGGTAACCCCAAAGTTGGACTTCTGCCATGCACTGACATTGGGCTACCTTTGTAGCAAGTTGGGAAAGTCCAGTTGGATCAAAACACGGCAGCCAGATTGGTTATGGGAACATCCAGGAGAGAGAGGGCCCCTTGCGCCCACCCTCAAGCCACTCCACTGGCTGCCAAGGGGTTTCCGGGCAAAGAACAAACGTGTTGGTGTAGGGGCAAAAACGACCAAGATAATCCACAAATCCAAAATCCAAGAGCAGATTGCCCCTTCCCAAGGAGGGCGAGGAAGGACACCACGAAAGTTGAATCTTTAAAACTGCAAAATGCTATTTATTGCGCAGCTGAAGCAATAGTGACAAACAGGCATATGGAAATGCAATCAAGGGGTTTCTCCAACCTAAAGTTGGTTGCATTGATTATTTATGACTTTCATTAAAACAGTTTGATTGGTACATAGAATCATAGAATCAAAGAGTTGGAAGAGACCTCATGGGCCATCCAGTCCAACCCCCTTCTGCCAAGAAGCAGGAATGTTGCATTCAAATCACCCCTGACAGATGGCCATCCAGCCTCTGTTTAAAAGCTTCCAAAGAAGGAGCCTCCACCACACTCCGGGGCAGAGAGTTCCACTGCTGAACGGCTCTCACAGTCAGGAAGTTCTTCCTCGTGTTCAGATGGAATCTCCTCTCTTGTAGTTTGAAGCCATTGTTCCATTGTGTCCTAGTCTCCAAGGAAAGAGAAAACAAGCTTGCTCCCTCCTCCTCCCTGTGGCTTCTTCTCACATATTTATGCATGGCTATCATGCCTCCTCTCAGCCTTCTCTTCTTCAGGCTAAACATGCCCAGCTCCTTAAGCCGCTCTTCATAGGGCTTGTTCTCCAGACCCTTGATCCTTTGGGTCGCCCTCCTCTGGACACATTCCAGCTTGTCAATATCTCTCTTCAATTGTGGTGCCCAGAATTGGACACAATATTCCAGATGTGGTCTAACCAAAGCAGAATAGAGGGGGAATCAATCATCTCATTGGTTACGTCAGACAATTAGGAATCTTATTGGTTCTTCTATGTTACTGACAGCAAAAGCCTATAACAATGGTTCTGTTGAAATCTCTGGCCCTGAGTTGCTGAACATCAGGTCGGCTTGTCTATGTGCAAGTTGCATGTTTTCTACGGCTGGGAAAATCAGGGAGTGAGGGAGTGACTTACTATTTGTATCTTTTACTGAACAAAGAACACAGAGATCAATCATTCTTTTTCTTGCTAGCAGGCCCGTAGCGAGGGGGGGGGGGGTTAGGGGTTCAAACCCCCCCCCCAAATGTTTCAGATTTTTTTTTAAAAAAACTGGTTTACTCATGAATTGTAACTGGTTAACCCAATCCGCATGCTGCTAAGTCTATGAGATGCAAAAAATCAAGAGTCCCTCCAGAACTGCAAGCACTATCTGAAGCAAATATTAGCAATTTATTCACACTGTCATTACTTGCAGCAAGAGCCAATGTAGTTGTTCTGGTACAGCTGTACCAGGAGCTCAAACTTTATTTGCTTTGTATTAAATGTTTGCTTCCAGTCCTAGGTTTCAGGGACTCTGCAGATAGGTGGCTTCTTTGGTTGCAATCATAGGGCAAGTCACCTGTCCAACACTGTTAAGTTTTGGTTCCGCCCCTTGCTCAGGGCAATTGGGAAGGGAAGGGAGCCATTTTTAGTTAGGCTCAGCAAGGTAAGCTTATGTATAGGATGTGTGCAAGCTTCCCCTGTACAAAAGCTTCAACCCTTAAGACCTTCCGGGGGAGAAAGGTCTTAAGAGTCTCCAAAGAATTTCCAGGAAAACAGCCCTAAAGACCAAAGAACTCCAGCTGGAGAACATCTATTGCCTTGCTGGTAGGTCCACTTCGGCGTTTGAGACGCAGTTCGACCCGGTAGCGGAGCCCACATCAGTAAGGGTTAGATTACAGTCAGCCTGGGAGAAGTTAAAACGGGGATTTTCCTTTAAAGAAGAAGTTATTGAAGACAGTTGCCTGTCCTTTGTGGGCAAGATTAGGAATTCACCAGTTACCTAAAAGCTTGGAATCATTTGCTGAACTTTACTGAAGACAAGAGAAGTTTCTGTTTGATTGTTCATTCATAAAAGACTTTGTTGTACTTCTCAAGCCATCTAAAGACTGTTTGTGGTGGAAACCTCTGAGAACTTCTCTTTAGGCCCCCTGGCTTCCCGCTGGGCAAAGGTTGCACATCCTGTTCTAAAGACAATTATTTACAGGCCCAGCACGCGACAGAACAGTAGTGAAGCAACCAAGTTGGGGGGGGGGGGGATGTTGAATGCTCTCATTAAGGAGGCCAGACTTGGTGGAGGTGGTTGACAAGGGCGGAGCTGCAGGCTATTGAAGGCTGCTCTGCCCCCTGCTGTGCTCTTTGCTTCAGCGTGAGCTAGGAGGCAGGTTTCAACCCCCCCCTGCGAAATTTTAACCACCCCCCAAAAATTTCAACCCCTCCCGAAATTTTTTGGCTACGGCCCTGCTTGCTAGCTTTTTTCTATGCATCAGCAGTTTCTAGCAAGCAAGGTTTTTCTCTATAGACAGGGCTTTTGGGACATGTAATGATTGGGAATTCATTTTCTAAATCACGTCTCTCTCATTGGTTTTGACCTTTAAAGCTCTCTGTGGTTTGGGTCCAGGTCCCTCCCAAGATGGCCTTCTCCGTGGCATACAATCCACCCCGGAGAGTAGCAGCCAATAGTGAAAGGACCAAGACATCTCCAGCTCACCCCCTGTTTGGGTATCAGCCAGCACGTCAACAACTTAAATCAAGAAATAGTTTTCTAAGATCTACAGAGACACTCGCTGGAACACCTCAGCAAGCGAGAGTCCAAAAGTGGCAGGCTCAAACCCAGAACCTGATACCAAATGAGAGACTCCCCCCTGGGCACACAGAAGACTGGGCGACTTGGAAGGCGCTGAACAGACTGCGCTCTGGCACCACGAGATGCAGAGCCAACCTCAAGAAATGGGGCCACAAAGTGGAATAATCCACGACATGCGAGTGCGGAGAAGAGCCAACCACTGACCACCTGCTGCAATGCACCCTGAGCCCTGCCACATGATGCACAATGGAGGACCTTCTTGCGGCAACACCAGAGGCACTCCAAGGGGCCAGATACTGGTCAAAGGACATTTAACCAACTACCAAGCTTGCAAATTCTGTGTTTTGTGTGTTTAGGTTCTTGTGGGTTTTTTCGGGCTATAGGGCCATGTTCTAGAGGCATTCTCTCCTGACGTTTCGCCTGCATCTATGGCAAGCATCCTCAGAGGGAGTGAGGTCTGTTGGAAGTAGGACAATGGGTTTATATATCTGAGGAATTTATTTATTTACTTTATTTATTTACTTTACTTGTATACCGCACTCTCTCAGCCCGTAGGCGACTCCGTGCGGTTTACAGCCAGGTCAATATACAAAGTGCACAACATTAGCATTTAAAACAGTAACTAAGGCAACTACATCAATATAACAATACATCAGTACATCAATATAACATCAATACATCCATATAACTAATCCATCACGTCTCATCAGTAAAGTCATAATCCGATCTCCTCGTCCATTATTCCAAGTTCCAAGATCAATCAATTGGTTGCACTGCTTAATTAAACGCCTGTTCAAAGAGCCAGGTCTTCACTCTTCTCCTGAACGTCATCAGGGAGGGGGCGATCTAATGTCTGCGGGAAGGGCGTTCCACAGCCGAGGGGCCACCACTGAGAAGGCCCTGTCTCTCGTCCCCGCCAGCCGTGCTTGTGAGGCTGGCAGGATCGAGAGCAGGGCCTCCCCGGACGATCTTAATGTCCTAACTGGTTCGTAGGGGGTGATGCGTTCGGACAGATAGGCCGGGCCAGAACCGTTTAGGAATGGCTGGGGTGGGGCCAAGAGCTCTTCTCGGCTGCAGCTAGGTGTGAATGTTTCAACTGACCACCTTCATTAGCATTTGAAGGCCTGGCTGAGCCTGGGGGAATCTTTTGTTGAGAGGTGTTAATCTGTGCCTGGTTGTTTCCTCTCTGCTGTTTGGCTGTTGTAATTTTAGAGATTTTTAGTACTGGTAGCCAGATTTTGTTCATTTTTATGGTATTCTCATAAGCCTGGGGGAATCTTTTGTTTAGAGGTGTTCATCTGTGCCTGGTTGTTTCCTCTCTGCTGTTTGGCTGTTGTAATTTTAGAGTTTTTTAATACTGGTAGCCAGATTTTGTTCATTTTTATGGTATTCTCATAAGCCTGGGGGAATCTTTTGTTGAGAGGTGTTCATCTGTGCCTGGTTGTTTCCTCTCTGCTGTTTGGCTGTTGTAATTTTAGAGTTTTTTTAATACTGGTAGCCAGATTTTGTTCATTTTTATGGTATTCTCATAAGCCTGGGGGAATCTTTCGTTGAGAGGTGTTCATCTGTGCCTGGTTGTTTCCTCTCTGCTGTTTGGCTGTTGTAATTTTAAGAGTTTTTTAGTACTGGTAGCCAGATTTTGTTCATTTTGTGTGTTTGTGTATCTGTTTTTGTCAAAAATGCCATACAATCTCCTGATATGATAAACCAACCCCCTTCTTAGAGTCGCTCACTGAAATGTTTCTACTTTCCCCTTGGCCGCTCCGTCTCGTCTTTTCTCTATGGTTTCCCTAGTCCTCCGGGTACGGTTGTCTATTCCTTCCCTCCTCATTTCCGGTTTCTCTCTCGCTTTTCGATCTCTATGGTGGTGCTTCCTCTTCTTTCCTCCGATCTCCTTCCGGTGGGCTTCCCTCTCCTGCTCTTCCTTTCCTGTGTTGACCAAGAAGGCCTTCTCTGCCCAGTCCAAACCACGAGCGCCCAAGGTCAGTGCAACTACAACTCCCAAACTCAAGGCCAATGCCCACCAGACCCTTCTAGTGTTTTGTGTTGGTCAGGGGAGTGTTGTGTGCCGATTCCATCGCTGATGGAGTTCAGAATGCTCTTTGATTGGAGGTGAACTATATATCCCACTAACTACAACTCCCAAATGTCAAGGTCTATTTCCTCCAAGCTTGCCTCCCTTGGCCTCCCTCCTCCTCCATCGTGGTTCCTTGTTTTGCCAGATCCATTTATATGCTAGCCACAGTGTCCACAGTGCTCTCTGGATGGAGGTGAACTACAACTCCCAAACTCAAGGTCAAGGCCCACCATACCCTTCTAGTGCATTCTGTTGGTCGTGGGAGTGTTGTGTGCCGATTCCATCGCTGATGGAGTTCAGAATGCCCTTTGATTGTAGGTGAACTATATATCCCAGCAACTACAACTCCCAAATGTCAAGGTCTATTTCCTCCAAGCTCCATCTGTGTCCCCAGTTGGGCATATGGAATATTCATGCCAAGTTTGGTCCAGATCCATCATTCTTTGAGTCCACGGTGCTCTCTGGATGGAGGTGAACTACAACTCCCAAACTCAAGGCCAATGCCCACCATACCCTTCTAGTGTTTTGTGTTGGTCATCGGAGTGTTGTGTGCCGATTCCATCGCTGATGGAGTTCAGAATGCCCTTTGATTGTAGGTGAACTATAAATCTCAGCAACTACAACTCCCAAAAGGCAAGGTCTATTTCCTCCAAGCTCCATCTGTGTCCCCAGTTGGGCATATGGAATATTCGTGCCATGTTTGGTCCAGATCCATCATTGTTTGAGTTCACACTGCTCTCTGGATGGAGGTGAACTACAACTCCCAAACTCAAGGCCAATGCCCACCATACCCTTCTAGTGTTTTCTGTTGGTCATGGGAGTTTTGTGTGCCGATTCCATTGCTGATGGAGTTCAGAATGCTCTTTGATTGGAGGTGAACTATTAATCCCAGCAACTACAACTCCCAAATGTCAAGGTCTATTTTTTTGAGTGATGGTCACTCCTTGGGTTGGTAGGTGTCTGGTGGCCAAATTTGGCAGTAATTCATCCAGTGATTTTTGAGTTACGTTAATCCCAGTAACGAACATTACGTATTTATTTATATAGAGTAGCCGACCCTTGCCAGGCGTTGCTGTGGCCCAGTCTGTGTATATGTGTTTTGTGTGTGTATATATGTGTTTATGTGTGTGTATATATTTGTGTTTGTATATCTATCTATCTATCTATCTATCTATCTATCTATCTATATGTGTGTGTATGTGTATTTGTGTGTTTATATGTGTACATGCATATTGTGTATATGTGTGTGCTTGTCTATATACATATTTGTATGTATATATGTGTGTATGTGTATGTCCATGTGTATATGTATATATGTATATGTATGCGTGTATATGTGTACATTTTTTTGTGTTTGTACACGCACACACATGTGCGTGTTTGAATGTGTGCATGTGTATATGTATATGAGTGTATGTGTATATATGTATATATGGTGTATTTGGGGCAAGGGTTCTTCTGGGTTTGTGTGTGTGTGTTTAGGGGTGATGGACACTCATTGGACTGTTAGGTGTATGTTCTCCAAATTTGGTGTCAATTTGTCCAGTGGTTTTTGAGTTATGTTAATCCCACAAACTGACATTACATTTTTATTTATATAGATAACTAGCCATCCCCTGCCAGTCTGTGGCTCAGTCTGTGTATATGTGTTTTCTGTGTGTATATATGTGTTTATGTTTGTGTATATATTTGTGTTTGTATATATACCAAAAAAGGGAAATGCAAAAGACTGCTCAAACTTCCGTCCAGTGGCCCTTATTTCTCATGCCAGGAAGGGAATGCTCAGGATCCTGCAAGGAAGACTCCAGCAAGACATGGAGCGAGAGATGCCAGATGTTCAAGCTGGGTTTAGAAAAGGCAGAGGAACCAGAGACCCAATGGTCAATATCCGGAGGCTGGAGAATGGAGAAAGGCAGGGAGTTTCAGAAAAACCTCTATTTCTGCTTCATCGACTCTTCTAAAGCTTTTGACTGTGCGGATCATCATAAATTGTGGCAAGTTCTTAGTGGGATGGGCATCCCAAGCCCCCTTCCCTCTCTCCTGAGGAATCTGTCCAAGGACCAAGTAGCCACAGTCAGAACTGACCACGGAACAGGAGACGGGTTCAAGATTGGGAAAGGCATCCGGCAAGGCTGCATCCTCTCACCCAACCTTTTTAACTTGTATGCAGAACACATCATGTGAGGATGTGCGGGACTTGATGAATGCAAAGCTGGGGTGAAATGGCTGGAAGAAACATTAACAACCTCAGATATGCAGATGACACCACTCTGATGGCCGAAAGCGAGGAGGAGCTGAGGAGCCTTCTAATCAAGGTGAAAGAAGAAAGCGCAAAAGCTGGGTTGCAGCTAAACATAAAAAAAACCAAGATTATGGCAACAAGAATGATTGACAACTGGAAAATAGAGGGAGAAAACGTGGAGGCCGTGACAGACTTTGTATTTCTAGGTGCAAAGATTACTGCAGATGCAGACTGTGGCCAGGAAATCAGAAGACGCTTACTTCTTGGGAGGAGAGCAATGTCCAGTCTCGATCAAAGAGTCAAGAGTAGGGACATCAGACTGGCAACAAGGATCCATTGCCTAGTCCAAGCCATGGTCTTCCCTGTAGTCACCTATGGATGTGAGAGCTGGACCTTCGGGAAGGCTGAGCGAAGGAAGATCGATGCTTTTGAGCTGTGGTGTTGGAGGAAAGTGCTGAGAGTGCCTTGGACTGCGAGAAGATCCAACCAGTCCATCCTCCAGGAAATAAAGCCCGACTGCTCACTGGAGGGAAGCACACTAGAGACAAAGTTGAAGTCCTTTGGCCACATCATGAGGAGACAGCAAAGCCTGGAGAAGGGAATGATGCTGGGGAAAGTGGAAGGCAAAAGGAAGAGGGGCCGACCAAGGGCAAGATGGATGGATGGCATCCTTGAAGCGACTGGACTGACCTTGAAGGAGCTGGGGGTGGTGACGGCCGACAGGGAGCTCTGGCGTGGGCTGGTCCATGAGGTCACGAAGAGTCGGAGACGACTGAATAAATGAACAACAACAATATATACATGTGTGTGTGTGTGTGTATATATTTGTGTATTTGTGCGTTTATATCTGTACATGCATATTGTGTATATGTGCGTGCTTGTCTATATGCATATTTGTGTGTATGTGTGTGTGTGTGTGTGTGTGTGTGTGAATGTGTACATATATGTGTTTATGTATATGTATGTGTGTGTTGTATCTCAGGCTAAGATTCACCTTTCTATCTCTGACAAACCAGCCAAAATTGTGAGGTAGAAAGTTTATTGTGAGGTTTTCAAACAAAGCAGTTCATCAGCAGTGAGAAGATCAGTAATACAGGGTAAAAATCCAATATAATCCCTTTGAGTCAAAGCAGGAGACTTGAAGCATAGAAGCAGAGTAAAAGTCCAGGAAATAGTGTGAAGCAGGCTTTCCCCCAAGCCCCAGAGCCGAAGGCCAGCAAGCCATTTTAGCAACGTTGGAACTGACACAGAACCAGCTCCAAGGCAGTTTACTTATAGGTAAAACATCAAAACATTGAACATCAAACAGGCAGCTAACAAGCAGTTTTCCCACCAACGGATGAGCTCAACACTTGGCCGCAATTCGTAAACTCCATCTCAACACCTGCTGGGCAGCCTGACCTTGAACCCCACCAACTGCCTTATCAGCTACATTCCATTCCTGTGAGAAAAGCGGCTTGTCTCTAGCTATAAATTTTGACTGAGAAAACTGAAAGCCCACATCTGCATCTGTACTCTCATTTCCATCATGCTCATCTGCACTCTCAGTCCCATCATGCTGTTGCTGCTGAACCACAACAGTGTGTATATGTGTACATTTGTGTGTGTTTTTGCACATATATACAGATATACGTGTGTGTGTTTGAATGTGTGCATGTGTATATGTATATGAGTGTATGTGTATATATGTATATATGGTGTATTTTTGGGGGCTTTAAGTCTGTTCTGCTGGGTGTGTGTGTGTGTGTGTGTGTGTGTGTGTGTGTGTTTAGGGGTGATGGACACTCATTGGACTGTTAGGTGTCTTGTGTCCAAATTTGGTGTCAATTCCTCCAGTGGTTTTTGAGTTCTGTTAATCCCACAAACGAACATTACATTTTTATTTATATAGATTTAATTCCAATCTTAAATTAATAGTTCATTGATTCATCAAATGCATCTAGACCTGCGCAGACTCTGTTTCCATCTATATTTCTATTGATCTGAAATTAATATTTTAAGTCCCACATCACGGCTTCACCCTTTGTAATTTCAGTCCTTAGATTCGTTACTTCATTCTTCATTCTTATTCAATATCAGTCTTTAAATCTTTCCAAGATTCTGGAAAAGATTATTAAGGAAGTGGTCTGCAAAAACAAATGCGGTCATCGCAAATAGTCAACATGGATTTATCAAAAACAAGTCATGCCAGACTCATCTGATCTCTTTTTTCGAGAGAGTTACAAGCTGGGTAGATGCAGGGAATGCCGTGGATGGAGCGTGTCTGGATTTCAGGAAGGCCTTCTTCGACAAGGTCCCCCATGACCTTCTGGCAAGGAAACTAGTCCAATGTGGGCGAGGCAAAACTACGGTGAGGTGGATCTGGAATTGGTTAAATGGACGAACCCAGAGGGTGATTCTCCCCAAGGCTTCCTCTTCATCTTGGAAAGAAGTGCCATAAGTGGAGTGCCATCAGCAGGGTTCCATCCTAGGCCTGGCCCTGCTCAGGATCTATATTAATGACTTAGATGAAGGCAGGATCATCAAGTTTGCAGACGACACCAAATTGGGAGGGATAGCCAATACTCCAGAGGACAGAGGCAGGATTCAAAACGATCTTGAGAGATTAGAGAGATGAATGGCCAAAACTAACAAAATGAAGTTCAGCAGGGACAAATGCAAGA